ACAAATTCCAAACAAGCAGTGAAGCATCTTGAAAAGATAAAGATACACAAGGAGTACATAAGCAACGGATGCATTAATGTGGAAGGGTTATCTTATGCCTGGAAATCTTTTTACAATAAAGCAGATTAATACGATGTAATCAATGTATATTTTCCCGTTGGCGGCTCTTATTTTTATGGTATTTGTATGTTATTTATAGATAATCTGAAGACGTAAGTCAGATGAACTGCGCATGTGTATTTTGGATTCTGTTTAATTTGTATTTCATACATTCCATTTTAATGTTCTTTTTTAATATTGGTCCAACTGATGATGGCCATTAAAAAAACAGTTGAAAACATTTTTGTCATATTAAGTATTTTTATTGCTGGATAGTTAAAGGTGTTATTTATATTATTTATTTACAAAGTATATTATTTATATTACAAAGAAATATCTATATTTGTTGATATAGATTTTAAAATCTATATCAACAAATGCTCCTTGTGTGATGTGTTACTAGGAAAAAGCAAATAGCTTTTAATTCTTTAAAAAACATATGCAAAAACATATGCATTTTTAAATATAGATTTTGCTGGATTGCATAATATTCTATTTAAGTATTTCAATCAAAGTACTATTAACAGTAATCACTTTTATTTATTAAAAAAATTTCTTATAATTTCTTATATTTATTAATAAAAATTAATAAATATAAAACCACAAAGACAAATAGTAAATTTTAAAATAGGAAAAGTTTAAAAAAACTAGTTTTATTTAATTCCTTCCTTATTCTAGAAATCCTTAAAGAGTGTCCTGACTTTCTTTTTTTGAATGAATGCAAGATTATTTTTTCATACCAACTATTTCAATCTCTAATATATCGGAATATATTGAGTCTGAATGTATGTTATTCAAATTAAGGAATGTACAATTCTACTTAGAACAAAATGATGATTTTAATAACAACTAAGGATCAGTGCCAACTATCAGTATGGCTGACGAGGTACAAATGTACTACAGTTTAGTGATGACACGATATAATTCTAATTGTAAACGTAGGTTAGATATATATGAGATATGACTAAAATACTAAACTAATTTGCATTAAATCTAAATATAATTATTTACAAGACGATAAACATGTGCTGCCACAACTTTCCTTTGTTCTTCCGCTAGACAAACTTCCAAATCTCATCAATCGTCAGACAACAGTTCACGACTCTCCACTAATGCACTTTCTATATGTACACATATCTCATATATATCTATCATACGTTTACAATATCAATATTACTTGGGCCCATTAACTATAAACTGTCTGTACATGCACACCACGAAGCTGTTGATGATAAGTTCTTAAGGATGGAAACAGATTACAGTACAGTACCTCCACTCGATGTATTCAATCTTTGGCTGCCTCTTCTATCTCCTGCTACCAGACAAACTATATCGAACCATGCAGCAAAACCAAAAAAGATCCTTCAACACACGAGACGGTCCAATTTATACTCCCCCCCTCATTCATGAATACTCTCTTAACACGAGACCCCGTTCTTGACCAATTAGTCTACACCAGTTGGTGTAGCAAGAAAGGTAATACAGCATACTATTCCGCAGACAATTATACAAAAAGTAGATCCCGCCATGTGGTAATGGAAGATAATTTATATACACAAATTATATTGATATTTAAGCATACATAAAACAACAATAATAAAGTAGTGCAGCACTACACAGCAAAAATATTTTTGTAGTATTTCTGAATGTAATTAAGCTATTTGTTTTGTATATATTTTGTATATATTTGTATATATGTATGCTTTAAATATAAAAAATTAAAAGATCACATTTTCATTATAAGTTAAGCATTACAATCTATTAAAAATCTTTGAAATAGTTTATCAAGTTAACTATTCATTTAATAGTTCCTTTTGTATGTATGCTAAAATGTTTACTGAATGTTTGTAACTTATCAATTTGTGCATATAAGTGACAATATGAATAATATGATACCATACTTCATGTTGGACAAAACTCAATCTATTTATATGCACAATTTGCTGATATTTACATTTTTGCATGGTATAACAAGAAACTAGGTAGCCCTTTTGTTACTGTAAGTTAGAAAAAGCTTAATTGTTAAGCCTAAATTAATAATTACAGTGTGTTCATAATAAAGTGCAATATCAATAGCAAACTACTTACTAATTTCTGTGACATATTTTGTGAGATTGTGTATAAAGATATTTTGTACGATGAAAAGTAACAGCAGCACAATACTTTCTTTAAATCAAATTTAGTGTAGAATGTAATGTGATTAAAGTCATTCAGTATGTAGAATGATTGAACACATATCTAGTAATAAATTATTATTCATGAACTATCATGTTTTATTAACCATTTTAATCTGATGGAAATATGACTTTACTGATTTGTAAAAGGCTGTACTATACACCATATTTATGAATTTCTTGTTTACAGAAATCAGTTTTCTGGGTTGAGATAAACAGATCAAAACCAACATTCAGAATAGAAATACATTTTTCTCCTTTAAACTGTTGTAACCCAAAATTTAAGTAACTCATTTTTGGTACTTTAATTCCATACATCATCACAGAAATTATTGTAATTATTTTTAATATTCTCTGTATTTAATTTTTTTTAATCCCAATTTTTGTAATTTTCAAACCGTAAATGTGAATGTGAAGTTCAAGTGTAAAAGTAATTTTGAATGAAAAATATTCAGATATTTTAAATTTCCATTCTTGCACAAACTTTTGTAATGTTGAAAATATTTCAAAAAGAAAACTATATAAGTTTCTATCTTGAATGTTTTGCTCTGTTTATCTCACATTCAGAAAACTGATTTGTTACAATGACATATGACTGTTTAATGACATTATCTTTAAAATAGTTAGACATTTTCTTTATTGGTTGAAAATAATTAGGGAAATATAACAACCTTTAAAATAATCCCTCTTTTTTAAAAGGCTTTAAATTATTATTATATAAGCAAATTAATAATGCCAGATTACATTTAACATAAATGATAGCAAATGTAAAAACAAAACTTTTAATTTTACTTATTCTAATATTTTATCATCTTTATCAAACATAATCATAACTGCTATAATTATGTTAAATATTTTTTATTATTTTATAGTGAAAAAAATTTGTCTTTTTCCTGAAGTACAGATTCTTTAAATATAAAATAAATGTTTAGCATGTCAAACACTTCAAACTTTTATCAACAGAGTGAGGATATAATGTATTAAAAACTTTTTCAAATAGTTTATTAAATTAATAGCTCATTTAATAATTTCTATGCTATATGTACAATAATGCATAAACTGATATATTGCAATAAGTGATAACATTAATAATAAAACAACATACCTCAAGGTAAAGCTCAAACTGTTAATATATACAAGTTTCAACTAATACTCTTTTTTGGTGATTTAAAGGAAATAAACAAGTCTTTAAAAGAAAGCTTAATTGTTAAGCCTAACTAAACTAATAATTGCTTCATAGTGAATATTCTTCTTAATGAAAGTAGAATGTTAACAGTAAACTGTTTTTACTTTTTTATTTTGTATAATGTACTGAACATTAATGTAGCAAAACAATTCATGTCAATAAAGTTTATAGCTTTATTATTTGTTACATTACTGTAAAATATAGTAATTTCCGTTACATTCAACACACTAAATATGACTTTACAGTAATATAAAGTCAGTCTGCAGAATGATCGACACAATTCCTGCATAATAAATTGTAGTATTAGGTATATTTTAGGTACATTCTCAATCAATGGAAATATCACTGCTTTTAATGACATTAATTGTACTTTTAAAAATAGCCAATACTTTATTGTAATGAACATAAAATTCATTACATAAAAAATGATTACTTTTTTCTCTACTTATCCGAATTTTTTGATATATGTTTGATAAAAGCTATTGTAATTATGTTAAATTTTCCATTGTTAATTTTAATTGCTACATGCAGTTTTATGTAAGATTATTTAAGGGTTTCTATTACAATTACTTTGTTTTTATTGAATTTCAAAAAAAGAACAGATTTGTGTAATGTTGCTTGACAAAATTTTTTAAAAATTTGTCAAAAATAAAAAAACAGTACTGTAATCAAAAGAGCTTTGTAAATTTTAGAAATATAATGGAAGTTGAGTTCTACTTTAATCTGATTAGGAAAAATACCATCTTATACATACATCTATATAATTTTTACACAGAAAACTTTCCCTCTTGAAATACTCTCTCACAGAAATCAAAACTTATTTTAAGACACATTTTCGGATTAAGATTTCATGAAAAGACAAATCTAGAATTAATTTATTACTATTATGTTCTCCATGATTTTGTCTAGTTTAAAAATGTTCAAAATTTTAAATTTTAAAAAACTTATTTCGAATACCAAAATGATTCTTTTATTTGTTCTATTGTTTCATTAGTAATTTAGTACATGAAATAAATTATAATATTTTAATAATCAAAGATATATTTCAAATTTGAACATCATATCATGTAATTTTTACATCAATGTCTTAAAAATGAACTTTCTTAACAAAGAAGTTTAAACTGTAACATACTAAAATTTTACGATTTTTAATATGACAAAATGTATTTAATTTTAGCTGTTTCAGTTTAATTAAAAACAATATTAAAAAGTAACTGTTTTTAATATTGCTTCCAATAATGTACACTATAAAGAAATCAAACTTAAAATTCAATAAATGATGGAAATTTTAAAATATCCTATTTCAAGTAATTTATTAACAAAATTTAATATAAAATATAATAATAAATGTTAATAAACATATCAACTTACCCAATCAATATTCAAAATGCACTTCTTTCACAGTTGTTGAATGACAATTAAGAAATGATGCTGGAAGACAAAATTACAGACTTTAGAGAAGACAGTATCATTGGTAGTGGATAATTTGAATATGTAAAGTTTTAACAGATCTATTTTTGATTAAATTAAGATCCCCCAAAGGGGAGTGGGCCATTCCCGGAGGTACTGCAATACCGGGTCAACCCGTGGCAGAGGTGGAGCAAGCTCCGAGCACTCCGCCGCCTTCCAAAAATCAGTTTAATATCATGGCCTCCGATGGAAGCCGTATCAGATATTAAGCTGATAAGAACAGATTTAAAAGCCATTTATTATTAATCGAAAAAATATTTACAAGTTGCCAATGGAGGCAGAGAATGGATAAGACATGGGCTCAAGCCTGCTAGTGGAGATACAAGGGTTAAAGGTTGAGATGAATTAAAGTGAGGTAGATAAACCTCTGGACGCGATGACATGGGCATGTGTGCCAGTTGGAGGTTGCCAAAATAGGGCAAAAACACAAGGCCCTTAGGCCGGGAGAAGAAGTGTCGCGGTTACAAGGGCCATGGGGCCAGGAGAAGATACGCGGTTACATGGGCCGTTGGGCCGAGAAAACAGTGTAGGTATGGATCGCGATTACATGGGCCATTGGGCCAGTGAGAACAGGAGGACACGCGGTTACATGGGCCTATGGGCCGAGTTACGGTTGCTGCTGAGATGGTTGGTGTATATATCCCGTGACCAACGAATGCAGTCACTTACCATCAAGCGTTTCATTAGCTTGGAGTAGTTTCGTGTAATTCCGAGTCTCTGAAGGACACCTTCATTGGCGGCGTCGTAACCGCCGAGGGCGCCGACAAGGAATGCATCAATGAAGGTGTCGTAGCCCTGGCGCTTGAAATGGTTGGCAAGGTCCGAGTATTTAGCCACTTTTTCGTCGCGGACGCGGTTGAATGCGTCCTCCCCGTTTTCAAATGGGGTGGCCACGTCGATAATGGTGACAGTCTTTGGGCTGTTATTGATGACGACGAGGTCCGGGCGGAGGGTGCTGGGAAAGTCAGGTACCTGTTGATTTTTGTACACAGTCAAGTTTTTACGATTGAAGGCGTTGCATAAACGGTCCAGCACTGCGTTGTGTCGCTTGGTGATCAGGTGGTAGTTGGGTGGACAATGGTTCACAACGTGGGCCAATGTCTCCCGGTGACGCTGACAGCGGCGACAAGTCTGGCTGGCGTTACCGAACCGTCTCAGGCCGCGTAGAGGGACGACGCTAAGTCTGGCCCGGTGAATAAAACGCCAGTCAGCGAACCTGGTGAAGTCGCCGTTCCGCAGGAAGTGATTGCTGCACGGGTTACTGGCAATCAGTTTGTAGGTCTTCCCTTGGTCGGGCTTACGGAGCAGGCTACTTACGAGGGTGGTCTTAGCAGCGTCGGAGATGGTCTTCATAGCGGTGTTCTTGGAGATCGGCTTCCCGTTGATGGAGGGGATGAAGGCGCCTTCGGCGTTCGTGTGCCACTCGAGCTCAAGATGTTTTCTAAGGCGTCTCGTAGCCATCCTGAGGCGGGTCCAAGTGGAGGGGATGTCATAGGGGTCGAGCCCGAACTCGTTCTCCATGGACCCAGCCAGATAGGTGCATACGTCAGCATCCGTTGGGGGCCGTTTGATGCGCTTCTCAACGACGTGGCGGAGGGTGCAGTCAGCCAAGGTAGCAACAGTGGGGTCCTTAGAGTGTAGCAGGTTGATGGCATGGCTGATTTGAGCAATGTCAGCCAGGATGCTGCACGGGGTGATGTTGGCACCGCCTTGTGCGTGCGGCATGTGGATTACCTCGGGGCTGGCCCGCTGTGGGAGGTACATCCACTTTTTAACGCTGCGCTTAATTGCTCTGTCTAACTTACCCAGCGGTTTCTTGCGTACGGTGCCCAACATTAGGTGGAACGTGAGTCTTGGCGTTAGAAATGTTGACACACAGTCAATTTTTTGCCAGGGGGCTAGGAGGGATCTGTCGACGTGTTGGAGGTCGCCAATGATACCCTCGATGACAGATTCAGCTGAGAGGCCCAGTGTGAATCCTGTTGGGATCCCAAGATGGTGGTAGTGCTCGTCCTTTTTTAGTTGCGGTATCGCAGTTCCCTGTATGTTGAAGTGGTCGCCTTCTGCGCAGTGATATTTGTTGACTACGGACAGGGTGGCGCATTTCGAGGGGTTGAACCTCAGGCCGCTGTGGAGTGCCCACGTAGAGAGGAGGTCGAGCTGTGATTGGAGTCCGGCTGGCGAGCTACTGATGATGGTAATGTCGTCTGCGTAGGCTAGAATAGATATAGATTGGTTATGTAATTCGTAGCCTACCTTGAGATTGGTGACGAGCCGGAGGGCGGGTTCCATAACGATGTTAAACAGGATCGGGCTGAGGGGGCAGCCCTGCTTAACACCAGCGTGGATAGGGATGGCATCAGTGAGACCGGAGCTTGTACGGACGCGAGTGTGGCATCCATCCAGGAGGGTCCTGATGCAGTTGATTGCAGATTCGCTAAGGCCACACCATTCGAGGCAGGTGAAGATCGTCTCGTGGGGAATGGAGCCGAAGGCGTTGGTCAGGTCGAGCCATCCCACATGGCAGCCTCGGTTTTTCCTGCGGGCGTCTTGGATGGCTGTTTGTAGCGTGAAGTTATGGTCGGAGCAGCCCTCATATCGCATGAAGCCTTTCTGCGCTGTGGATATGATGTGGTTTTCCTCGCACCAGCGCAGGAGGCGGTTAGCGATACACGCAGAGTAGAGCTTACCCAGCGTGTTGGCGAGGGCGATGGGTCTCCAATTATGGATATTATCGTGATCGCCCTTTTTGTGAATGAGCACCGTCATGGAGGTTTTCCAGGCGTTGGGGACTGCACCAATACGTTGGACTGCATTAAATAGTGCAGACAGGATGTGTCCCTGCGGGTCGAGCCTCCGCCAGATGTAGTAGCGGATGCCGTCCGGGCCAGGGGCGGTGTTATGGCATTTGGTGAGTCTAGCAGCAACCTCGAGTGGAGTAAAGATGTCGAGTATCGGGTCGCTGGTGGTGGGATGTAAGCCTGGTGGTAGAAGAGTTCGTAGGGGCTCTTGCGGAACCTGGAGACGGCTGGAGGTGCTGGTGAAGTGGTCGGTTATGGTAGACTTGTCAATATTGCAGTAACGGCTCGGGCCACGGGTGATTTCGTCGAATGCCTTCCGTTTGTTGGCTCGGTAGAGCCGCTGTATTCTGCCGGCCTCGGCGGCGTTGTACCTGCAGTGTCGCCGCTCACGTAGATGTTGGGACCTTGGTTGTCGTAGCCGGTTGTTGGGCTGCTGCTGTGGTGCCATGCTTTCGGCGAGAGAGGTGAGATCTTGGACCATTACCTCTAACATATCTATGTCGAGGGCACAGTCGAATCTATCTCTCCAAGCGATGACCCAGGGCGGCGGGGGCTCTGTGGAGATATTAGGAGCTGGAGGATCAGGTTGGACGCTTACCTGGGGTCTGCACTGGGCAGGGTGGCTGGGTGGGTCCGAGGTGGTGATCCCAGGCTCAGGTGCCGTTGGAGGAGGCGCAGGGTCCGAGGCGGTGATCCCAGGCTCAGGTGCCGTTGGAGGGGGCGCAGGATCCACTGCTGAGTCTGTGGCAGGCGGTGATATAGGCGAGGGCGTGGATTTCCTTCTACGACGGCGTCTGGGACGGCGGGGCCGTCTCACTAGAGGCGGAGAGGAAGAGTCGTTGCCAGAATCAAGGCGGGGGTGCTCATCGACAGGCCTGCAGGGGGAATCGGTTCTGGAGGTGATGGTAGGAGTAGGTGACACAGGAGTAGGATTAGTGGTGGACGTAGTGGACTGGTTGAAGCAGGTGCTCGGCGTCGGCTGGCTGCTAGTAGTGGCGTTCAAGGAGGCTAGGTAAGCTTCATCAAGGCCAGGGCGTGGAACTCTCGGGTTCCAAGGGCCGTTATAGACCTTGGGACGGTACTTGGGGTCTCTTCTTGAACAGTCCGGGGATAGAGATGGGAATTGGGCCGAGCAGCTGGCGGACTTTGCCTGGTGGAGCTTGATGGCCTTCAGTTTGTCAGATCGCGTTTTGCAGGCGCGGCACTCGAAGTCGAGGCGCTTGCCATGCACACGACGGAGGTGCCGAGAAAGGCCACCGTGATCAACATAGTCTCTATAGACTGGAAGGCATGCCGGGCAGTGGTATGGAGGTCGCAATGGGACTAACAGAGTGACCGTAGATGGACCGCCACTTGGCTCCATAGATCAAATGTGTAGTCGAAGTGGTAGGAAGAGGAAAGACGGGTGAAGCGCCCCCTGGGGTGCGTAGCAGCCAACCAAGGAGGGGCGGGAAGGGGAAGAAAGAACTGCTGCTTGGGTTGGCCCAGGCAGTAGTAGAAGTACACGTTGCGTCGTGATCAGTGATCACGCCGCGACAGGAAAGTGGTTGCTGGTCAGGCAGCGAATACACTGTGCGTTTAAACAGTGCAGGCCGCCCTTCCAGCGGAAGTAGGAAGAGTGATAGGAAAGAGAAAAACGCTAAAAACTACTTACCGACTCGGCGGGGAGCATCCGGCTCGGAATCCTGGAGTCGTCGAAATGGGGCAGAATCAGGCTTAATTTAAAACATCAAGCTGATAAGAACAGATACTACACATTTGATCTTAGCCATAAGGCCGAGAAGCGATAAAAAACACATCAAAGGTGCCGACGGGCCAAGTCTGGAAACGTACAATACACGTGTGGTGTGTCCAGGTGACGTCGATCGGCAAATATCCGTTAATACACACGAAAGAACGTCAGGAAACGATAGCAGACGATGCTAAAGGCTACAGGAAATGTCAGGTATTGCATGGGTGTTGCCTGACAACGGCATAAAACTCCTGTTGGTCACCAATCATCACAGGAGGAAATTATGCCGCAGCCCGTACCAGCGTTGCGTCGGTCGAATACTGATAGCATTTCGATGCTAAATATTTTTTCGCTAGCAAAATACATTAGAAATTTCTGTATGTAACGTAGAATATTTGCCGATTCGATATTACAATATATTCCATGCAATAATTTTGAAACAATTCGCTTTTATCCGTTATTTTAGAAAAATGTCGCGCTACTTCATTTCTTCAATGTAAAGAGTGAGGCTTACCTTTCCTGGGGTGCCTGGGTCTTCTACGTGCAGGCCGTGCGTGTTGTCCACAGTAGTCACACTCTGAAAAAATTGCACATTTCATTTTTCTTCAATAACTTCGAATCGCCGATTAGCGATAACGACCAACAGCACGGGAACGTCTTTCTCGCATCGCTCAGATTCATCGTAGCGTACCGGAAGTATGCGGCGATGGCGGTTTATCGCCATC